GGCACCGTGCAGTCGCAGCTGCGGCAGCTGCAGCAGCAGCAAAGGAGCAGCTGCATGCAGCAACAGCCTGCTGCACATCCCCAGCTGCTCAAGCAGCAGCAAACACTTCAGCAGCAAGGGAGCAGGGATTGCATCTACTCGTAGCATCAGCCACCTCTGAAAGGAAACAGCAACGTCTTCTTCTATGAACTTGCTCCGCTTCCTGCTGCTGCTGCTGCTGCTGCTGCTGCTGTTGCTGCTGCTGCTGGTGCTGGTGCTTTCCTGGTAGTGAAGAGCTTGCTGCAGCTGCTGCAGCAGCAGCAAATAGCGCTCAGGGCGCATCGTGCCTTGCTGCAGCTTGAAAAACTCTATACAGTCTTCTGGCGTCAGCAGCACTTCCTCCTCTGCTGCTGCTGCTGCTGAGGCACTCCGCAGCGGCTGCTTCTTCAGCACTTCGCTTTCTGGCGTGCTGAACAACCACTGCTGCTGCTGCAGAAGCTGCTGATGCATCTGCTGCTGCAGCTGCTGCTCTTGCTGCTGCGAAGGCACAGAAGCACCCATATAGTGTGTTGCTGCTGCTGCTGGCTGCTGCTCTTGCTGCTGCGAAGGCACAGAAGAACCCATACGGTGTGTTGCTGCTGCTGCTGGCCCCCCAAGCGGAGCGCAAGTGCTGCTGCTGCACCCATCATCGTGACTGCCAGAAGCCGGTCTCGGAGAAGGAGCAGCAGCAGCAGCAGCAGCAGCAGAACGCGAGAGGGAACGGATCGATGTGCTACTGCACCTGTGCCCTGAACTATTAGCAGCAGCAACTGTAGCAGCAGCAGCAGCAGCACGAAGGCTTCCAGTTGCAGGATATGCTTCTAAGAGGGGGCCCCCCAAGGGATAATAGACGAAGGCAGCAGCAGCAGCAGCGGCAGCTCTTGTGCTGCAGGCTAAGGGGCCCCCCGGCTTCTGCTGCCGGAGGGCCCCAGCAATCTGGGGGCCCCAGAGGCCCCTCATAAGGACATTCTTAACTCAAACTCAACGATAAAAGAACACAAGTAGCTGCTTATAACAAACCCTTTAGCCTTAGAGGGCCCCGGGGGGCCCCCCTGGGGGGCCCCTAGGGGCCCCTGGGGGCCCCCCAAGGGGCTCAGGCTGCACTGGGCCCCACGGGGGCCCCTTAGACAGCGGTTTAGCTTGAAATGAAAGTTGTTGAGGATATATAAATAATCTGCAGTGTTATTTTATGTCTGGTTTATACTTAGAAGAGTTATACTGACAGATGAGCTGCTGCTGCTGCTGCTGCTGCTGCTGCTGATGCGGACACTGCGGCAAAAGACAGAATCGAGTAACGCAGCAGCCTGCGGCTGAGTTTGCCTCCCAATACCGCTGCAGCAGAATAGGAGAGGTAAATGATTAAGAGAAGATTAGAAGACAGGCATCAAGAGTAAAGAAACAGCAGCAGCAGCAGCAGCAGCAACACAGTGGGGGCTGGGCCGGCAACCCCTGTGTTGGTGCTGCTGCTGCTGCTGCTGCAAGCTGCCCTGCACGGCACTTAGCTGCAGTCTGTACATCTCAGACAAACGGGGATGCTGAGGAGTATCTGCTGCTTTCCTGCTATTCGCATGTATGCTGACAGCAGGAAGTAGAGAACACAGCTAGCTAGCTAGCTAGCTAGCTAGGTAGTTAGCTAGGCAGCTGGTTAGCTAGCTAGCTGGTTAGCCGTTGTGTGTAGCGAGCTGGTTCTAGCTACCGCTCGAACCAGCTTGCTATCTAGCTAGTTCGCTAGCTAGCTAGCAAAGAGTGCAGCAGAAGCAGCAGCAGCAGCAGAAGCCGCAGCTAAATGTGCAGCAAAGTGAATAACTATTCAAATGGATTGTAGGAAGAAGAATATAAAAAAGTATAAGTTGTTGTTTAATATATGAAGCGGAGGCACGCAGCTGCAGCAGCGCCGCCCCAGCGCCCTCTCCTCTCTCGTTTAATTAAACAATTTAATTACTTTAACAAATTTCCTAGCCTCTATCTTTATCTATTCGTAGATATGCTAACAAAGAAAATAAATTAAGTCTTGTCTTTGTCTTCTTTTGTTTTGTTTGCTGAGACAGAGACAGAAAGCAGAGGAGACGAGCATGCCACTGCATCTCACTGATACGTATGTATAGATAATATATATATAATATATATATAATATATATATATATATATTGATATGCATATGTGTGCTTATATTTGTATATCTGGATATGTATATATATATATATATATATACGTACATTAGTATGTATATATTTATGTATATATATATGTATATAAATACGTATGTACATATATATATATATATATATGTATATATATGCGTGTATATGCATATATATATTGTATATATTTGTATATATATATATTATATTTATATATATTAATGAAATAACATTATTCTTTTCTAAGCAAATATACCCTTGAGGCCCTCCAACAACCTCAAAGTCTGCTGCTCTGTATCGCTGCTCAGCAGCTGCACACCGCTGCTGCTGCTGCACTTTGTTTTTTTTTTGTTCATTTTAGTTTGCATCTTTGTTTGTAGAAATATATTTAAATACAAATAATTGCCTCCTAAAAAACGAGCGGAAGTTTGGGCTGTTTCATACCTACGAATAAAATATAAATATAAAATATAAATATAAATATAAATATAAATATAAATATAAATATAAATATAAACAAAAGAATATATATATATAGATGTATATATATATATATATATATATATATTTGTATTTATATTTATAGATGTACATAGAACCATAAACTTATCTGTGTATATACAACTATATGTGCATATATATTTATACACAGCCGTATATATATATATAGTTGTATATATTTGTATATATATATATATTGTATATATATATATATATAGTTGTATATAAATATGTGATTTGTATATATAGCATGCATCCACATTAATGCACATATATACATAGACATACGTCTGTTGACGTAGAGCAGTTTATCCTTACAATAAACATACAAACAAATATATTTAGTAAGAAGAAAGCTAAACAAACAAATAAATTTTATACACCGGAAGCGTGTGGGCCCAGCACTTTCAGAGACAGACTGTCTGCTGTAGCTGTCATTCCCTCTGCTGCTATTTCTGCTGCGCACGCTGCTGCTGCTGCTGCTGCTCCTATTGATGCTGCGCGCGCTGCTGCTGCTGCTGCTGCTGCTGTTATTAGTTCACTGAGGGGGAGGTGCTCCGTGGGAGTGGTGTCTGACGTGAACAGCAACTGAGTGGGCAGCTGCTGCAGCAGGTGCTGCTGCTGCTGGTGCTGCTGCTGAAGCTTCGATGCCTTTGTACATTTGGCTTTGCATGCGCACGATAAACTCCCATGCGAAGGAAGCAGGGCAGACAGTATGCAGATATAGTTCTGCTGCATGTGCTGCATGCGGTGCATGTGGTGCATGTGCTGCATCTGCTGCTGCTGCTGCTGCTTCTCTTCGTATTGTCGGTGTTCCCCTTGCTGCTGCTGCTTGATGCATTATCGCAGAGCCCTCCCTGGAAACCCAAAACTGAGGAAGCCCTGTGAAATCAATCAGCAAGACAGAAGCCTGAAGGATATCTCTGAGGGCTTCACCATCTCTGTGAGCAATATCGCAGCTGAGCCCAACCTGCTGCAGCTGCCGCTGCAAGTTGCTTGTGCCTTTTGCGCAGTCTTCTAACTCCAGCTTCAGCAGCTGCAGCAGCAGACCTCTAGGGTTTAGCTGCTCCTGCATCACTAGGCTGAGGGCTATGCTATCCCATTGCTGCTGCACAGGCTGAGGCAGCTTCTTTGTAGGGTCTCCTCCTGGATACAAAAAGTTCGAGTAAAGAAACTTCAGATAAGAGCACCCTTTCTTTTGGGTGTCTGTACACCCCAAATGCTTCCTAACCCATTTATGACATTCACCTATGCGCCTACCAAACCCGCAGGCGTCTTCATTCATCTTTGCAAGCTCTCGCCAGAACCTATTATCCTCAAAGGCGCATTTACCGTTGGGTAGCTGCTGCAGCAGCGGGAAGAAGTTCGTGCTGCTGCTGCTGTTGCTGCTGGTGCTGCTGTTGCAGCCATGCCAAACAGCAGCGCGGCAATCAAACGAAAGACTCTGCAGCACTTCAAAGGCCTTTTCTCGCAGAGGAAACATTACTGTGGGGTCAAAGCCAGAAGACTGCAGCAGATCAGAACCAAGCAGACACAGCCCGGTATAAGGGGTTACTTGTCCACCGCTGCTGCTGCTTCTGCTTCCTCCGGCGATGGCGCTGACCCCGGTATAGGAGTGGCCCACGCTGGTGCTGCTGCTGCTGCTGCTGCTGCTGTTGCTGTTGCTGCTGGGGAAGCCAAGACAAGGGATTGTCTTTCCTCTCTCTGTAATAGTCTGAGTAGTAAAGTGAAAGCCGCTTTCTTCATAGAAAGTATGTCCTGCTTCAGCTCCTAAAGAGAATTTCATATATTCACGTGTAAATAAATCTTGAGCTTCATCTATCAGCCAGCCTACACGGTACCCGTGCAACCAACAGAAGCCCCAGAAGAGATCAAGCAATGTCTTGCCCTTTACCTCTGTTGCATTTCTATCTCCTTCATCTCCAAGAAAGCCTACCCCACAGCGATGAGGCGCCTTCACTTCAAACTCTATTCCTATCAGACGCCGATGAGGACTCCTCCCGCTCAAATTCCACCCGCTGCTGTTGCTGCTGTTGCTGCTGCTGCTGGTGGTGCTGCTGCTGGTGCTGTTGCTGGTAGGGAGACGGCCTTCTTGGCTGTAGAAGGGCTCGCATAATAGAGAATGCAGCCAGCTTCCGTTAGTACGGGTTATAGGGAAGAGGCCTCCTGTGTTACAGACAAGAAGAATATCATAGTAGCCTCCATCTCTAGCAGGGACCCCTCTTATAACAACGCCAGAAGAAGTAAAAGCAGGGCTGTGCAGCCACAGCCGCCTTGTTGCTGCTGCTGCTGCTGCTGCTTCTGGTGAAAGGTACGACGTGTCTCCTGCTGCTAGCATTGCAGACGAAGCATCCGCAACCACCTTCAGATGTGTAAAGTCATAAACAGGCTGTACAGGCTTCAGCAGGAAGCCTGAGGGGAGCTGCAAAGCTGCTGCAGTTGCTGCTCTGTCGTGAAGCTGCGCATACACCCCAACAGTACGGGTTATAGGGAAGAGGCCTCCTGTGTTACAGACAAGAAGAATATCATAGTAGCCTCCATCTCTAGCAGGGACCCCTCTTATAACAACGCCAGAAGAAGTAAAAGCAGGGCTGTGCAGCCACAGCCGCCTTGTTGCTGCTGCTGCTGCTGCTGCTTCTGGTGAAAGGTACGACGTGTCTCCTGCTGCTAGCATTGCAGACGAAGCATCCGCAACCACCTTCAGATGTGTAAAGTCATAAACAGGCTGTACAGGCTTCAGCAGGAAGCCTGAGGGGAGCTGCAAAGCTGCTGCAGTTGCTGCTCTGTCGTGAAGCTGCGCATACACCCCAACAGGTGTATGCCATACTGGGTCTACAGCAGAAGCCGTCTGAAGGAGAGATGCGAATCGAATCTTCCTTTCCTCTTCTTGCAGCTGGTGCATGTGCTGCTGCACTTGCTGGTGCATTTGCTGGTGCATTTGCTGGTGATGATGCTCGCCTTGCGTGCCGTGGGCTGCAGGAGCAACAGCAGCAGCTTCTGCTGCTGCTGCTGCTTGATGCAGCCTCAAGGTACCGACAGGGGAGTTTCTAATGAAGACAGAACCTAATGCATCTGCATGGCCCCAGGCCTGAAGGAAGCAGCCCCGCTTAAATGTATTCCAGTATGTTTGTGTAGAGAAGAGGTCTAAGTATAGAGTGCCGAAGCGCAGCACCTCTGAGCGTAGAGTATGCCTATAATGTTTCAATATATTGTAAGGATAGCTTTTATAATTGCTTGCTGTTACTTCATACATATGTTTATTATACCATTCCCTCTGGGCAGGCTCCTCTAACCTAGCTGCTGCTGCACCTCCTAATAGCTGCTGCAGCAGCAGCCACACCCCTTGTCTCCGCAGCAGATGAGTCATGCGGCTTGCCTGTAGCGGTTCGCGAGGGATTGCAGCAAGGAGTTGCTGCTGCAGCAGGAAAATTAAGCGGCCTGTTAGGGAGGGGGCCTGCAGCCTTCGCAGCTCCCTGATACACTCTAATAGACGGCCACCAGGTGTACAGCTTGGGATCCTATGACTGCCAGGAAGAGCACCAAAAGCTTCAAAGTCTTGTCTCCTTAAACCTAATGCAATTGAGCAGTTTTCTTCAGTTGTTTGTGTAACTCCTTCGGTTAATACGACGTGCTGCATGCCCAACCATACACGATCAACAGCAGCAGCAAGAGGATCTGCTGCTGCAGCAATACCCAGCCACGATATATCATTCAGAGGATCTGGAGACAAAAGTTGCGCCTCCGTTACTTGGTTTAGGTGCGGGTCCTTGGGTCGCCTAGTTGGAGGTGCTTCTTCTTCTTCGTCTGCTGCTGTTGCTGCTGCTGCTGCTATTGCTGCTGCTGCTCCTGATCCTGCAGCAGCAGCAGCAACCATCGAACGAGAAGGGTTGGGGTTAACAGCAACAAGAGGAATTGCTTCACCAAACTCAGCATATCGGGAAGATACAGCTCTAAAGTCTAGCAGCAATATGCTGTCTTGCTGCAGCTCAAGAAGATATTCAAGTGTAGGGAAGCTAGTGTGTATATACGCCTGTCTAGAGTAGCCGAGGGTCTGACAAAGCCCTAGAGCTGCTTCAAGAAACCCAAACAAATATATTGTTTCTCTTCTATGTTTCTTGAGGCCTATCTTGCAAGTTGCAGCATATGCTACTCCCTGTCTTGCTGTTGTTGCTTCTCCTCCTCCAGCAGCACCTGCTGCTGCTGCTGCTGCTGTTGCTTCTGCTGCTGCTCTTGCTGCTGATATCCCAGGGAATTCGCCGCCTACTAGCTCAAAGCCCAACGTCACTTCAAAACCCCCCTGACCCACAGGTGGCTGGCCGCTGCACAGCAGCGCAGATCTCCTGCTGCTGCTGCTGCTGCTGCTGCTGCTGGTGTGTACGCGGCAGGCAAAGAAGACCTCAGTAACCCCCGCTAATATAAAATCAGGGATCTCTTTGAGTGTAAAGGAAGCAGCTAAAGCAGCAGGGGGATGAAGAAGAGGAGGTGTAGAATTTTCTAGGCTCTCTGCCTGCCTCAGCAGCTGCTGCTCCTTCGTATGCTGCTGCTGCTGCTGCTGCTTCTGCTGCTCCTTTGCAAGCTGCAGCACAGACTCCATCTTAGTCTTCGTTCCCTGATAGCCTGCAAGAGAAATGTCTGCGCTCGTCCTCCCCACAGACGCATCCATAAGGTTCTTTAGCTCAGGAAAGCGCAGCGTAGGGGGCCCTGGGCCTGCTGCTGCAGGGGCCCCTGCTGCTGCTGCAGCAGCAGCAGCAGCAGCAGCACGGTCATGTGCTGCTGCATGCGGCGGTGCTGCTGCATGTGGTGGTGCTGCGCCTCCGTCGTTGCCCCCAGTAAACTCCACTGCTGCAGCACTGTTCCCCCATGGTGACGGCAGCAGCAGCAGCAGCAGCAGCAGCAACAGCTTGTGCTGCACCTGCGAGCATACCTTCCAGGAGCTAGACAAAGCTGCTGAGTATCTCTCCATACCGGTGGTTTGTTGCTGCTGATCCTGCTGCTGCTGCTGCTGGCGTTGTTGTTGCTGTTGATTGTGCTGCTGCTGCAATGCTGCTGGGCTCATAGTTGCTGCTGCTGTTTCTGCTGCTTCGACTTGTCGAATGCGCGCGAAGGCAGCAGCAGCTGCAGCAGCAGCTGCAGCAGTTGCAGCAGCAACGTCCTTGCTTGTAGCAGCCCTTAATCTGGAGAGGTGTTGCAGTTCTCAGGAGAAGAGCACCTGCATTTAAGATTGTATCTCCTGCTGCTGCTGCTGCTGCTGCTGCTGTGTGGCCGGTGTGTGTGCTGCCGCCCGAGTCGGCGGTGGTCACGAGGCCCTTCGAGGGACAGCAGCAGCAACAGCAGCAGCAGCAGCAGCACTAAGAGCAGCAGCAAGTTTTACCAGTCTGAATCAAACAAAAATAATAATAATAGCGGAATTAATCTTAAAACAATGGGTGGAGGCTGAGACAAGAGCAGCAGCAGCAGCAGCAGGAACAGCAGCAGCAGCAACAGGCGCTCGAAGGTCGGCAGCAGGCCCGTGGCTGCCGGTGGGGATGCAGCAGCAGCAGCAGCAGCAGCACCTGCTGCTGCTGCTGGCTGCATGCACAAGCCTCACTGCAAAAAGCCCCAAGGAGAAAACCAAACAAAATCAGTCCTCTTCTTTTGCTGTTGGAGATATAGCTTAATTTGTTATCATCTACCTTTCCTCCTACGAAGCAGCAGCAGCAGTAACAGCAGCAGCAGCAGCAGCAGCAGCAGGGGATGCAACCGCCTCAGCAGCAGCAACGTTCCAAGCCTCAGCAGAAGGAAACAAACAGAAATTAAATAACAAACGAATAATAATGTATTGAGGTGTATATACACCGCGCATGCGCAGCAACAAACCTCAAGACAGCAGGCCCTGGGGCTCTCCCTCTCTTCTCCTTTGCTGCTGCTGCTGCTGCTGCTGCTGCAGCGCGGCAGCAGCAGCAGCAGCCTAGGCAACAACAGCGAACCAGAAGTGCTAAGGCTGCACTCAGACTGCAGCTGCTGCAGCAGCAACAACTTGCTGCTGCTGCAGCTGCTGCAGCAGCAACAACCCTTCCACCCACCGCTGCGGCAGAAGTCGCAGCCGCACCCGCAGCAGCAACGAGAGCTCGAAGAGCTGCTGCTGCAGCAGAAACAGCATTAGCAGCAGCAGCTAGAGAAGCCCCATTCCCAGCAACACCAACCAGAGCAGCAGCAGCATCCACAGCAGCAGCAGCAGCAGCAGCAGCAGCAGCAGCAAGATGTCTACTCCTTTAGTGTTAGACTTAGGCAGCCACTCTCTAAAGGCCGGCATTGCTGGAGAGGCTCTGCCTCGCGTTGTAACGCGGTCTGTTATCGGAGTTGCTGCAGTAGGAGATAGCCTAGGGGGTGGTTCGGCAGCAGCTGCAGCAGCTGCAGCAGCTGCTGCTGCATCTCCTGCAGCCGCAGGCGCTCCCTCCGAAGCCAGCAACGGCGTTGCAGCAGCAGCAGCAAAGCCCGTGCTGCTGCAGCAGTTTTTAAATCCCCTAGAGAAGACAGACCATGTTGAAGTGCTGCCAGTGTTGGAGTACAGAGCGACGCACCTAGACCAGCCAGGCACCTATGTGCTGCATCGACAGGTACCTGCTGCTGCTGCTGCTGCTGCTGCTGCTGCTGCTGCTGCTGCGGGTGCTGGTGGTGGTGGTGGTGCTGCTGTTGCTCTTGCTGATTCTGCTGCTGCTTTTGCCCCTGCATCGGCTGCTGCTGTACCTGTTGCGCTGCTGCTGGTGCTGCACGCTATGTCTAGCTGTTGCTGCTGCTGCACCTGCTGCTGCTGCTGCTGGTTTGTGCGTTCATACTGGCCGTGGTTCTGCTGCTGATGTTGCTACTATGACTGCTGCTGCTGCTACTACTGCTGCTCCTGATGGCGTTGGTGCTGCTGCTGCATCTATTGCTGCTGTTGCTGCCGGCACTCCTGCTGCTGCTCCCCCTACCGCTTACTAATACTACTACTACGAATACTGCTGCTGCTGCTGCTGCTGCTGCTGTAGGGTCTAGAGCGACTGGCTGAGGAGGTGACGGGGCCGCGGTGTCTCGGCAGCTCTTCATTAGAAAGAGGTTTGATTATGACGGAGCCTAACTACGGAAACCCCGCAATTAGAGATGCATTTGCTGAACTTGCATTCGAAACGCTGCAGGCAAGTGCTGCTGCTGCTGCACTTGCTGCTGCACTTGCTGCTGCTGCACTTGCTGCTGCTGCTTCTGGTGCTGCTGCTGCACTTGCTGCTGCTGCTGCACTTGCTGCTGCTGCTGCTGCTGCACTTGCTGCTGCTGCTGCTGGTGGAGATGCTGCACTTGCTCATGCTGTCGATGCTGCACTTGCCGTTGCTGCTGATGCTGCACTTGCTGCTGTTTGTTCCTACTTCTGGTGCTGCTGTCCTGGCTGCTGCTGGAGCCGCTGCTGTTGTTGCTGCTCCTGGTGCTGCTGTTCTTGCTGCTGCTGCTCTTACTGCTGTCGTTGCTGCTTTTGCTGCTGCTGGTTCTGCGGGTAATCGAACTCTTGAGGCGGTTGCTGCCGCTGTAGTTTCCGCTGCTGCTGCTGTGGTTTCTGCTGCTGCTGCGTTTGCTGCACACCGCCAGAAGCAAAAGCTGCCCGTTGGTATCGTTGCTGCTGCTGCTCACAATCCTTCTTCTTCTGTCCTGCTGCAGCAGCAGCAGTAGCAGCATGCAGCTTGTAGGCCGCAGCAGGCATACCCTGCCCGATCCCTCGTCACTTGCTGCTGCTGCTGCTGCTGCTGCTGCTGCAGGTCCCCGAGTTGCTGCTGGTGAAGAAGGCCGTGTTGGCTGCCTTTGGGTGTGCGAGGACTTCAGCAATTGTGTGCGATGTGGGGCACAGCAACTGCAGCGTTGCTGCTGTTCAAGAAGGTTATTTGCTGCAGCGGCTGCAGCAGGAGATCCCGCTGGGCTGCAGGCAGCTGCTGGCTTTAACCCGCCAGCTGCTGCAGCAACACCATATAAGCATTACTCCCGGGTACGCTGTCATTCAGCAGCAGCAGCCTGGTGCTGCTGCTCACGGAGACCCAGCTGCTGCTGCGTCAGGGACGCAGCAGCAGCGGCAGCAGCAGCAGCAGCAGGCAGACCGCATGATTGCTGCTTGCCCCCACGTGACAAAGAGCTTCCGCGAGTTCGGGGAGCAGCACGTGCTGGAGGTGCTGCTGCAGCTGCTAGGCAAGTGCAGCACTAGCAGCAGCAGCAGCAGCAGCAACAGCTGCGAGGGATTGAAGCAGGCGGATGGAACAGCAGCAGCAGCAGCAGCAGCAGCAGCAGCAGAACCTTATGTGCTGCCAGATGGTACCCAGCTGCCTCCTGCTGTCTGCACAGCTATTGAAACGACAGTGCCGGAGGTTTTCTTCTCTGCTGCTTTAAGACAGCAGCACCGCAGCGTGCTGCTGCCGGAAGCAGCTTCTTCTTCCTCTACAGCAGCAGCAGCAGCAGCGGGCATTGTCACTGCTGCCCAGCACCAGCAGCAGCAGCAGCAGCAGCAGGAGGCAGCAGCAGCAACCGCAGGGCTGCTGGAGTGTATAAGCAGATGTGCTGAAGCCTGCAAACAATCAGCTAAAAGAGATGTCTTGGGGGCCCTCGTCCTCGCGGGTGGCGGGACACAATTCCCCGGCTTTGTTCGCAGGCTTAAGGCTGAGGTCAGCAGCAGCAGCAGCAGCAGCAGCAGCAGGATGCAGTAGCAGCAGCAGGCTGCTGTAGCAGCAGCAGGATGCAGTAGCAGCAGAAGGCAGCAGCACAGCAGCGAGTAGTATTAGCGGCAGCCGCATACAGAGGTAGCAGCTGCAGCGATATGTTTCACCAGCGGCAACCTCATGCAGCAGCTGCAGCAGCACATAGAAGCAATAGCAGCAGCAGCAATTAGAAGCGACAACAACAGCAGCAGCAGCAGCACTTAGAAGTAGCAGTTGCAGCAGCTACAAGTAACAGCTGCAGCAGCACGTTGAAGTAGCCTTCATGTGTAGCCCAAAGAGCTCGAAGTAGCAGCAGCAGCAGCAGCAGCCGTTGCAGCAGCAGTTGCAGCAGCAGCAGCAGCAACAGTGCGTTTATGTTTGTGTGTTTGTGTTTTGCTGCAGGTTTCGCAGTTGGCAGTGGGTGGTGGTGGTTTGCGTCCTCACGGCAGCAGCAGCAGCAGCGGGAGCAGCAGCAGCAACAGCAGCAGCAGCAGCAGCAGCAGCCTGCGGCTTGTGTGCAGCCGAGGGGCTGTTGAGAGGCATATGGCTAGCTGGATCGGGGGATCGATTGTGGGGTGTCTCTCTACATTCTCGCAGCTAGCAGTAACGCAGCAAGAATATACTGAGTTTGGTGCAAGAGGCTGTATCGATAGAAAGTGCCCCTAACAAACCCTAAACCCTAAACCCTAAACCCTAATGCATTCTATTGCTGCAACCCTAGAGGCTCTTCTTTGCTTCTTTGGCTTCACAAAATAACAAAATCTACATACAAAGACAAACTCAGAGACACAGACAAATAATAAAATATATATTTATTTAAGAGAGATGAAGAAAGACAGACAAAGACAAACAGAGACAAATAAACAAAGAGAGACAGACAAACAAACAGAGACAGAAAGAGAAACAAAGACAGAGACAGAGAGACAGAGACAGAGAGACAGAGACAGAGACAGAGACAGAGAGAGACAGAGAGACAGAGAGACAGAGATATAGAGAGACATAGAGAGAGAGAGACAGAGACAGAAATGACTAAAATAAAACGGCAAAGCAAAATGAAGCTGAAAATAACAGAAAAAAATCGAATGACGCAGACAAACAAAAACAAAATATAAAATATATATTATATATATTATATAATATAAATATATTATATAATATATATTTATATTATATAAATATAAATATATATATATATATACATAGTATGTACAGAGAGACAATAAACCCTAAAACAAACAAAAAAGTAGCAGCAGCAGAGAGAACTAACAGCTGGCAGAGCAGCAGCAGCAGCAGCTGCTGCTGCTGCAGCAACCCAGAACGAGCGGAACAAAGAGAGAGACAGAGAGAGACAGAGAGAGAGAGAAAGAGAGAGACGGAGAGAGACAGAGAGAGAGAGAAAGAGAGAGAGAGAGAGAGAGAGGCGGAGAGATATAATCCACAAACAAAGACAGAGAAAGGAGACAGAAAAAGAAAAGTAAAGACAGAGAAAATAAACAAAAAGATATAAAGACGCCTCACATCTACAGCAGAGATAGACAAAACCCACAGCTACGAAGACAGCCTAAAACAAAAACCCTTCAGTCACAGGCAGCAGCAGCAGCAGCAGCTGCTGCTGCAGCAGGAACCGTTGCTACTGCTGCTGTTGCTGCAGCGAGGAGGAACGACAGCATCAGTTCAGCAGACCACTGGAGCCGGGCAGCAGCTGTTGCTGTTGCCGTTGCTACCTCTGTTGCTATTGCTGCTGCTGAAGTTGCTGCTGCTGCAGCTGCTGCTGCTGCTGCAACTGCAGCAGCAGCAGTAGCCACTTGGAGGAAGGGTACGGCATTCACCTCTTGTAGAAAACGCTATAGCAGATTGTCCACGAGAGCTGCAGCAGCAGCAGCAGCAGCAGAAGCAGCAGCAACCACAGCAGCAGGTGCACAAATATCAGTGAGAAGCAGCAATGGCAGAACTAATATAAGAAGCGAAGCTGCAGCAGCAGCAGCAGCAGACAGAGAGATACACCCTGACCGCAGTAAATCGTACGAGCGTCAGCATCAGCGAGACCAGCAGCAGCAGCAACAACAGCAGCAGCAACAGAAGCACCAGCAGCGGCAGAATCAGCAGCGGCACCCCCAGCAGAAACACCAGCAGCAGTAGCCGCATCAGCAGCAGAAGCATCAGCAGCACCATCAGCAGCGCTATCATCAGCAGCAGCAGCAGCACCATCAGCATCACCGGCATCAACAGCAGCAGCAGCACCATCAGCAGCGCCATCATCATCATCAGCAGCAGCACCATCAGCAGCACCGGCATCAGCAGCACCAGCATCAGCAGCACCAGCATCAGCAGCAGCAGCAGCAGCAGCAGCAATAAAGTTACCATGAAGATGCCGAGTGCAGGTGCGAGTGCTTCTGTAGCTACACCGGCGACTGAGAAGACAACTGGGATCGTTTTTGTTTTCTTTAGCCACAGAACAGCAAATAATAATTGAAGAAGAAAAAATAAAAAAGCAAAGATTAGGCCCGATGCCTGACTAACCCCCAAACAAACCCCTAAAAGCAACCCTACCATCTGCTTCAGCCAGAATAACACATTCTTGCAGTCCATCTGAGCAGCAGCAGCAGCAGCAGCAGCAGCAGCAGCAGCAGCAGCAGCAGAAGCAGCAGAAGCAGCAGCAGCAAACAACGCATGCAGCAAACAACACAATAAATATCCTATATCCTGCTGCTGCTGCTGTTGGTGGTGGTGTTGCTGCGTGTCTTTGTGCTAGAGACAGTGCTGCTCTTTCGAGGGAGCAGCAGCAGCACAAAGTAAAGCTGCTGCTGCAGAGGAAGCAGAAGCCAGTGTAATAACTGCAGCAGCAGCAATAACAACGATAGCAGCACTCATACAGGCAGCAGCACAGCAGCAGCATCAGCAGCAGAAACTGCAGTACCAACAGAAACAGCAGCAATAGCAGCAGAAACACCAGCAGCAGCAAGAGAAACAGCAGCAGCAGCAGCAGAAGATCGCTTGCCTTGTCCCACTCGTACTGCTCCGCATGCAAAGCTCGCATCAGCAGCGACGGCTGCTGCGGCTGCTGCCGCCTGTCTGCGGAAGTTGGAGAAGAAGCGGCCTTCTTCATCTTGGCTGCTGCTGCTGCTGCTGCTGCTGCTGCTGCTGTTGCTGTTTCTGCTGCTGCCTCTGTCTCTGGCTTTGTTGCTGCTATTGCTCTTGCATCAATGGAGGCGGTTGTTCCTGCAGTTCGTCTGTTCAGGCTGCTGCTGCTCCTGCTGCTGCATCAGCTGCCGCTGTTGCTGCTGTTTTTGCTAGGGTGTTGCAGCTGGGCAGGCTACGCCAATGCTGTTGCTGCTGCTGCTGCTGCAGTTGTTGCTGTCTTTGCTGTGTTAAGGAATGTTTCTCACACTGCTAAGTCCTCAGTTGCTGCTGCTGCTGCTGCTAACCGTTGCTGTGCTGCTGGCGGGCATGCGGCGCAGTGGTCGTGTCCTGCTGCTGCTGCTGCTGCTGTTGCTGTTGCTGCTGTTGAATATCCTTTTAATGCGGAATTCGTTAGAAATATACAAAAACATAAAAAACGAAACAGCCATCTATCCCCCCACTGCTGCAGCAACTGCTGCGGCTGCTGCTGCTGCTGCGCTGTCGGCAGCAGTCCCAAGGCTGCTGCTGCTCACGCTGCAGCAGCAGCAGCCGCAGCAGCAGCGGGTGCTGCAGCTGCATCGATTCTATCGATATCGTGGTTGCACATCCACTTGGGTAGGTGCTGCTGCAGTAGAGAACACCACCTACAGCAGCAACAACAGCAGCAAATACTGCAGCAGCAACAACAGCAGCAAATACTGCAGCAGCTAACACCCGTGGAGCCATAAATAAGCTGCACAAGAACACCTGCGTTTGCCGCAGCTGCTGCAGCTGCTGCAGCAGCTGCTGCAGCAGCCGCTGCTGTTGAAGTACCCTTGTAGAACAGCAGCAGTAGCAGCAGCAGCTGCAGCTGCTGCTGTTGCGAATTGCCGCAGCAGCAGCAGCAGCAGCAGCGAGAGCGCTCCTTCTTCCCAGCCATAAGGAGGGCTCCAATGTACCGTACCAAGGCAGCAGCAACAGCAGCTACTGCAACAGCAGCAGCAGCAGCAACCGCAGCAGCAGCAACCGCAGCAGCTGCTGCCCCAGCACAAGGCCACTGAACCTGCTGCAAAAAATGATGCTCTCCTCTGGGGCTGCGTTAGACTTCGTTAGTGCTGCTGCAGCAGCTGGTAGACAGCAGTTGCTGTACATACACCGGGCTGCTGCCTTGCTGCAGCAGGAAGACAGCTTGCTGCTGCTGAGCAGGGGCCTTGATGCAGATGGTGTGCTGCTCCAGCTGTTGTCGCTCTTGCAGCAGCGCGAAAAAACTGACAGCAGCAGCAGCACGTGCCCGCAGCAGCAGCAGCAGCAACAGCAGCAACAGGAGCAGCAAAACGGTGGCGGTGGTATCTTTGGCTCCATACCTTCTCCTGTACAGGAGGACTCGGAGCCGCAGCAGCAGCAGCAACAGCAACAGCAGCAACAGCAACAGCAGCAGCAGGAACGGAGGAGGCCTTTGTATAGTGCTGCTTGGCCGAGACTAGTATTGGTGCTGGGTCTTGCTGCAGCAGAGCACTCAGCAGTGAGAGCGCTGCAGCGGCGGCAGCACCGGCAGCAGCGTCGCCTGCTGCAGGTTGCTGCTGCTGCTGCGAAGGCGCGCTTGAAGAGCAGCAAGAACGACCCAGCAGAAGCAGCAGCAGCATCAGCAGATCTCGCAGCTGCAGCAGCAGCCTTAGACGATTTGGAGCGTCAGCAGCGCGCGGAGGAGCTGCGTCTTGCATGCAGCAGCAGCAGCAGCAGCAGCGGGGAAGCCGCAGCAGCAGCAACAACATGGCAGCTGCGGCAGCAAATGTACGCAGGAGGCGGCTGCTTCTGCTGCCCTGCTGCTGTTGCTGCTTCTGATCTTCTTACTGGGCGCCTCCCCCCAGAAGTTGTTGACTGCATCATCTTCGTACGAGCTGAGCGGTAAGGCAGCAGCAGCAAGTGCAGCAGCAGCAGCAGCAGCAGCGGTAGCAGCAGCAGCAGCAGCAGCAGCGGCAGCAGCAGCAGCAGTAGCAGAAGCCGCAACAGATGTAGCGGCGGCACCGGCAGGAGGAATAGAGGG